TCTCGAGTGTTAACACCCGAACTTACCGTCATGCATCACATAATGTTTTAATTTGTTAAAAACATCATTTTTGTTATGAAAAATCATTTTTATAATAATCATAATCAATTGGTATCAAAAATAGGATTTTAAAGCTCAAAAATAGCAATTTCAGACAAAATTTCGGACCAGAGTTTCGGAAGATCGATCCAGCCCTCTGGATCGATCCAACTAGAAGAAAAACTCCCAGAGGATCGATCCAATGAAGGGGATCGATCCACTCTGTGGATTTTCAGCTACTGTTCATTCGTCTTCAACCTCGGTCCATTTTTCGGGAAAACCATTTTTAGTCACCGAACTTCAATTAAACTATATAGAGATGTTCCCCAAGGTTCATAGATCATATTAGAATTTATAAAACATATTTTTAATATCAAATTTCAGGTTTATGATTCTTGGTTCTTCAAACATGTCAAACACAAAACTCAACCAAATGACCATTTATGAACGTAGAAACGACGTATATGATCATTCTAGTCATTAGATATATCTAGAGGCTTACCTCAAAGTGTAATGGAGGTTTTGAATATTTTCCGGCAAAACTTCCGGCGAGCACCACGTCTTGCTCCGGCGAGCACGACGACAACTAATACTATCAGATTACTCCCCTCACTCACAGGATTCTATTGAACTAAATTGTAGAAAGAATGGTGTAGAAAATGGGAAATGAGCTCTCCCATATATAGGGGTTGAAGAGGGGAAGAAGATAGGTTGCATCGTCATTTCCATGATCCTGTGATCGGCTAGTGCGCTGGGAGGCGCCGTTCGCACAGTGTCCCTGATTGGGACCAATTTTGGTTCCAATCGGGGTACACTTTTTGGTCCAACTTTCTCCGAATTGAAATCCGTTTGCACCGTTGCGATCAGACAGTCGAACTCTATCCAACGATATAATTTTTATATTCATTCGTTATACTTTTTCCGACACCACATTTTTGGGTGTTTGACCTTAACATAGTCAAAATTGGTTTAATTGACCTTTCTCATAAAAGGTTCTCTCATTTAACTCGTATCAATTATTCTAATGATTTATTTCAACAATTCATTTCAATATTTACATTCTAAACAAATTCTTTATTTACTCTTGTTTTGGGTCTGTACTCAGGTTCCCAATCAAGACCACACAAATAGTCCACATATTGGATTTATCTCTATGAGACTTATCCAGATTTTGATATTAGATGTCAAAACAAATTTCGTATCGGCCCAAAGCCCAACAATAATTTATTTTAATCAAAAACAAATTTGATTAATTGATTATTTATTCATTAATAATTCTAGGGTATATTTTGGGGCGTTACACAACACCACCATTTTCATAAAAGACACAAGCGGAGCTTGTTTTAGCGTGTGCAGGACGACATAATTTTCATTTACATGAATGTCGTTCATATGAATTTCCTCCAACTCTAAATGAAGACACAATAAGTGAAACAAATGGGAGTCATGAATGGGATGATACTCAAACATAAGAGCAACAACGAGAGAAGGTCAATGAATGACGATTGAATCTTGCAAATTATATGTGGACAAAAGATAATAGTGAAAATAGCTAATTTTTTACGTTATTTGCTTTACTAATAGGGTTTTTTTCTTTTTGTTGAAACATTTGATTGAGAAGATAATTTCAATATAAGCAATATAATAGGTTCACTCTATTTTATTAGAATATTACCTTTGCTCGTATGTGCTTGGTCAATTTATATTTTTACTGCCAAACTAGGTAAATTTTGATAAATAAAAACTATAATACCATCAAGTATTAAAAGTAGTTTACCCAAATTAATCTTGTAAAATATATTCAAAAAATTATATTTTATTAATATAAAATATAATATAAAATAACTATAATATTTATTTTCTTAATGGTAATTTACTTTATTATTAAAAATAAGTATAATATTTATGCCAATGAATTTTTTTAATCTAATTTGAGTGTAAATGGTTAAATTGTACAAGTAAACTTTGTTGAAGAAAGTAATTAAGTCTATGAAATCACTCAAATAAAAGTCTATGAATTTATGAAAATCAAAAGGAACCAGACAAGACATTGTTAATTCCAAAAGGAACCAGACAAGACATTGTTAATATGACGATTAATTCTTTGTACATCTGGAAAGATTGCACTGTGTTACGTTTAACAAATAACATGCGACTGCAATCAATGATTGGAGATAGTAGTTACGATCATTTAGTTGAATTCGCTGAATGGATTGCAAGCATTGGTGATAGAGTTGCTGGAGATGAACATGATGGCTATGCAGAAGTAACAATGCCTGATGATATGTTGCTTCCATCTTCGGGAAATCCTATAGCTACTATAGTGAATTCTACCTATCCATATTTTTATAAAATAGCAAATGATCCAACCTATTTGCAGGACCGTGTAATTTTGGCTCCAACATTGGATGTTGTCGATTCTATAAATGAATATATGACATCGATGAATCCCAATGAGGAATCACGCACATATCTCAGTTGCGAAAAGGTTGAGAACTCGGACTCTAATTCGAATTTCTTTAACAACTTGCATGCTCTTGAGTTCTTAAATAAGATTCGTGCTTCCGAAGTACCAAATCATGAGCTCATTTTGAAGGTAGGCACCCCGATTATGTTACTAAGAAACATTGATCATTCGATGGGTTTGTGTAATGGTACTCGATTGATAGTAACTCGGTTGGCTAATCACTCGATCCAAGGAAAGATTTTATCTGGAAGACACATGGGTCAAGAAGTTGTTATTCCAAGACTATCACTGACACCATCTGATGCAAGAATACCATTCAAGTTTCAAAGAAGATAATTTCCTGTGGTTACTTCTTATGCAATGACGATTATTAAGAGTCAAGACCAATCTTTAAAACACGTGGGATTATTGTTACGGAAACTCGTATTTAGTCATGAACAATTATATGTTGCGGTTTCAAGGGTAACAAATCGTAATGGCCTGAAAATTCTTATTTGCAACGCAGATGATGTCTCAACAAAATGTACCACTAATGTAATTTATAAAGAGGTTTTTCAAAATTTGTAATTTATAGATATTCGTGCTTTACAATACTAAAAAATACGGAGTACTATATTTCATAATATGTTGTATTTCTTTCCTTTTATAATGATACCAATGTAAATTTACAACGTAATTGCGACTCGTGCAACGCACGAGTGTGATATTAATTCATATAATAATATTGACTTTCAAAATAAGGCCAAATTGTTAGAATAAGTGACCAACGCTAGAGGGGGGTGAATAGCGTTTGATCGTAGAAATCGCAGGAATAAAAAATTAAGAACGTGAAAAGTAAAGAGCGTAGAAAGCGTAAAGGGAGCACACCAAGATTTATACTAGTTCACCACAACGTGTGGCTAATCCAGTCTCCTGAGAGACTCTCTCGAGCTACACTACTTCCGTTAAGCTTACGGGTGCTTAACAAACCGTTACAACCTGAGAACTCGAGTCCCACGAGCCTCAACAACCTTGCTCGGAGATACCGCACTCTAAGACTTCAACCCGAAGGAAAATACCTTTCCTTCGTACAACCAAGGGAAACAAGCTTCCCTTAACGTGTATACAACACTAAGACACTCAAGAACAAGACTCTCTTTAAGAGTGGATATGAGTAAAATATATACGCTCAAGAACAACTCAAACTTCACACAAATTGGCTCTAGAAAGCTATGGAAAATGATGTTATTTGAATGCAATGAAAGTATGAATATTGTGAAGTGAATTGGTGAGAAAAGCAGACCCAAACACCCCTTTTTATTGTGCAAAATTAGGCTCCAACGGACCAATGCATTAAAGGAGTGATTAGCTTGATTTATGGGATTGAAAAGATTTGGGATCTGCAGAATATTGGCTTCCCATCGATGTTTAGAATCAACCATCGCTGGTAAGCCAATTTTTCTTCTGTTTTGAAGTCAACGGTCACCTACCCATCGATGGGTACAAGCTTCCCATCGCTGGGTGGGAGGTTGACTT